TTATCTTACATAATGCAGATTGCATGTCCAAAAAATCTAGATAAAAAAGCAGTTAATAGTCCTGCATTTTTCCATGTACGTGTAAATACAGCAGGTAGCCTACAGAGTACATGCATTGTGCACCGTGCGTTGGCGGCCACACTGCACACCGTACATGTACATCGGCACTGAACATTCCTCATGGCCGGTGTCGCTTGAAATCTGAACTTCCGTCATGGGCGTCGTACATGCACCCGCGGGCATCTGTGTTTTCTCTGTGCCGTGTGCTCAATACGCTACTGGGGCTGCACTTACGAAGGTTAACATTTTATACTACACCATCTGCAGAACTTACATCGACCCCACACACATTTTTTTTCATGGCGGCAGCCTAGCCCTGTGTAACAGTATTAACCTTAACCCTCCTCAATCCTTCACCTATTGGAGGACTGAGGAGGGTTAGGGTTAATGGCATCTACGACGGGGATGATATTTCCACGCCATGGCTTCGCAAAATGTTGGTAAACCACAATGGAAATCCCTGACAGTTTTGAAAAATCCTGGGGAGAACCCTGTCATGATGTGCTGGTGCAAAACCTATCAATGTAATCAGCACCGTTTGATCCAATGGACCGATTGAGCCTGCCAAGTCGAGTGACTTATAGTGGGTATCAATATCAACAGCCATGGCGTCTCTCAACCCCATAGCAAAGTGTGTCATAAGTGTCGTTTACCAAAACTAGAATTACGGTCAGTATGGTACTCGGGCAACTAAGCTGAGCACTCTAGGGAAAATAGTTTTGGTAAGCAACACTTAAAACACACTTTGCTATAAGAGTAATACCCACTATAGGTCACATGACTTAGCAGGTGTGATCGGTCCACTGCTCCGACCGAAATGATAAAGGTTGCTCTTCTGATGTGTAAAAAGTCCATACAGGGTCAGTGTCATGACACTGTCATGTTTCCAATTTTCTAACACAGCCTTCATCCATAATAATTGAACAAAGTAAGCATCATGCTATCTTCAAAACAACTGCTTTGTTTGCATCCCAATGCACACATGCAATGCCTGCCTGGTGACATAAACTTACAGTTGGCACAATTTTTCCTCANTTATCTTACATAATGCAGATTGCATGTCCGAAAAATCTAGATGAAAAAGCAGTTAATAGTCCTGCATTTTTCCATGTACATGTACATACAGCAGGTAGCCTACAGAGTACATGCATAGTGCACCGCGCGTTGGCGGCCACACTGCACACCGTACATGTACATCGGCACCAAATGTTCCTCATGGCCGGTGTTGCTTGAGATCTCAGCTTCCATCATGGGCATCATACATGCACCTGCGTGCATCTGTGTTTTCTCTGTGCCGTGTGCTCAATACGCTTCTGGGGCTGCACTTACGAAGGTTAACATTTTATACTACACCATCTGCAGAACTTACATCGACCCCAAACATTTTTTTTTCCATGGCGGCAGCCTAGCCCTGTGTAACAGTATTAATGGCATCTACAACGGGGATGATATTTCCATGCCATGGCTTTACAAAATGTTGGTACACCACAATGGAAATCCCCGACAGTTTTGAAAAATCCTGGGGAGAACCCTGTCATGATGTGCTGGTGCAAAACCTATCAATGTAATCAGCACCGTTTGATCCAATGGACCGATTGAGCCTGCCAAGTCGAGTGACTTATAGTGGGTATCAATATCAACAACCATGGCGTCTCTCCACCCCCATAGCAAAGTGTGTCATAAGTGTCGTTTACCAAAACTAGAGTTATGGTCAGTATGGTACTCGGGCAACTAAGCTGAGCACTCTAGGGAAAATAGTTTTGGTAAGCAACACTTAAAACACACTTTGCTATAAGAGTAATACCCACTATAGGTCACATGACTTAGCCGGTGTAATCAGTCCACTGTTCTGACCGAAATGATAAAGGTTGCTCTTCTGATGTGTAAAAAGTCCATACAGGGTCAGTGTCATGACACTGTCATGTTTCCAATTTCCTAACACAGCCTTCATCCATAGTAAGTGAACAAAGTAAGCATCATGCTATCTTCAAAACAACTGCCTTGTTTGCATCCCAATGCACACATGCAATGCCTGCCTGGTGACATAAACTTACAGTTGGCACAATTTTTCCTCGAAACCACTGCACAATGCCGTGACACCATCCCGGGGACCCTGTACATTCAATGTGTAGGACTTTTCTTGCAATTAAATAAACCGGTGACTACAGCTGTAACATCAATACGCGTACATGTACTTCTCCCAGGCATCTATGTTCTTGGGGTCCATCGAATCTGGCCGCTTGTAGCGTGCATAGGGACCAAATGACGGATTGAAGATGAAGTTCCACACTACCATGGCAAAGGAATCATGGGTAGGCAACACATCGTAGTAATCTGGAGCTATCTTCCTCAGCTTAGAATAAATCAAGAAACAAACAATTTAAGAATATTTCACACCATTTTTTCATACATGGTTAGACATCAAGTTAACATTACCCATAGATAATTTTGGCCCTCAAAAAAAAAAACCAAAAAAAAAAAAGGCTCTATTTTGAATAGAAACCAAGCTGCAAAAATCAAACATCAGCCCTAACCACTTAGGCTCTTTTGGCTAGGATACACCCTCAATCCTTCCAAATCCTCCAACTGCCTGATGTTTCTAAATTACATATGTTCTTTGGAGGGGTGCCCACTGCCTTAATCCTTCAAAATCCTCTGGCAAGTCCTCTCATTATGCTGAGGCAGTGTGAATGGAATCCAGGAGCAGCATGGACGATTTCACATATAATATGAGCATGAATTTATGCATGGCTGAACAGGAACATCATATGGTCTAACCCACAACCTTGAGACAATGCATCCTTCTCAATCAGCAATGCAATTTCGCCATGTAGCCTCAACCCTCCAAAATCCTCTAACACCACTCAGGTGGTTTTTGAAGGTTTGAGGATGGTGTTAGGGTTAAGTTTCGTATGGTTCTGATAGTTTGTTACCATGGACTTTTTTCACCATTAATGTATCTTCGAGCAACTGAGGCTTCAAGTCATAAATTAAGTGCAAGGAGTGTGCCCCTGTTCCATTGTATCCAGATTTTGAAGGTGCTAGCACTCTTTTGTAAGGGTTGCTGTTTCGATTATAACAATTCTTCTGTCCCCCCCCCACCCACAGGATATGCCACTGCAGTTTAGGAAGCTTAGGATGCAAAAAAGGTACAGGAATGGGGCCTCAAATAAATTCAGCAATAGGCTTTTTATCCTTCGATTTACAATTCTACAATGTGCAGCCATGGCTGGTATCATAGCCTGGAAAGATCTTCACAATGAAGTACATCTGGACTTTGTAACAGGGAACCCCATGGTACATGTACATGTAAGTACTGTACAAAAATTTACATATGCACATGAACCCTGTAACACTGGAAAAGTAGACTTGCAATGTACAAGTATTTATGTGGATATGATATTGACAGACAGTGTACAGAGCTTGACCTGAAGCAGTCTACAGACAATAGCGACTGTCATTAGACTTTGAACATTGAGTTCATTATGTCACTATCAATGGTTTAATCACGAACATTGGAAGTGCAGAACTGCACGTCCCCCCTTCATACCATGTGACCTGCAGTTCATGTCAACTTTCTGACATTGAACTCCACCTTGATTTCCAGGGGATGCTTCTTATATATTTTAACTCTTAGGTACTAGCCCAATAGATAAGTCCTTTGCATTGAAAAAAACCAGACTACAAAATACAGATCTATAACCCTGACTCTTCTGTGTCTTAAAATGCCCACACAATGGAAATTTTTTTTTCCTCAGCTGCCAAGAATATATCTTTAGCTCCTGTTTGGGTTAACACAGAGTTTGACATGTTAACTTTAGAGTCATAACTTCGATTATCCTTTGATTGGAGATGGAATGAGAAGATTCTCTCATAGTATCATTATCGAACAAAATTATGCCATCTAGTCCATGCTTGGAAAAGCTTTTTGGTCCCAATTCCCGTGGGGAAATAGTGAGTAAGCATAAAGTGGAAATGTGGATGAAAGAATACGGCTAAGAATGTTTCCATCCCAACTGTGCAGAAAGGCATATTCTCCACACGTTAGAAACCTGGCTTTAAGCAAAATTTAAACAGTTCAGACGAGGCATTATGGATTCTATTCTGTGTACATAACAGAGAGTGCTTCGATGCCTAGTGATGTCATTCTACAATGCAGACATGTAACATGTACATGTTGAATCGCTTGCGTACGGCCCAGACTCTGTATGGCTTTTTTTTATCCAAATGTGCTGCCTCCACGAAATTTCCAACTGGGTGCTGGAAGCATGGCAGAAACGGCACGATTATGCAGTGCCTGCCCAATCTCTTGTCTGTCACTGAGGTGAAAAGGTGAACGAAAGTGAAAGTTTGACACTTCAAAAGCTAGTTGTTGGATCTCAGATATAGGACAGTTAAAACATGCTACAGTGGTTTGTGAGGAAGGCTAGGATGGGTACAATGGGTGCTTACCAAAGGAAGCTTGTTCCCAGGAATGTTAGGGAAGTCATGGTGTTCCATGTGATACCCAACATTGAAGGCAATGTAGTTGTACGGTCCGTAGTACGAGTAGGTCTCGTGGCCCTCCTTGAAGAGGTAGTGCTCCGAGACAAAGTGGCCAGCCATCGGGTGGATCCCCATGACCGTGATGGTGCCGATGAGCAGGTACAGGTAGGCCTTCAGGTTGAAGAAGTAGATGATGGCAGCGTTGAAGACGATCTGCACGGCGTAGTTGATGACCTCCAGGCGGGTGGGCGCCTTGGGGCGCCGCAACATGGGGCGGAAGGCGTAGAAGAAAGGCTGCAGCAGCATCCAGATGGCCTTGGTTGGGGCGTTGCGGAAGAGGTAGCCCTCCCACTCTGACGGCAGGTCTGGGTCCAGCGACTCCTCACCCTAAAGGAGAGAAGAAGAGATGAACCCTATAACAGCAGGGTGTTTTTTTCCCGAACATCTCACTACCAGAGAGAGGGCAGAGCAGATCCCTACAATTTCAGCTGTCCCATACCCAATCTTTTTGAAACTTTGCATAAAGCCATTCATTCTGGGTACGTCAATGAAATTTCAGTTCAGATCTTCATTGTACTTTATTGTTAAAATCATATATAGTTCACCACCACATGTATACATAAACTGAACATATCAATGGTGAAAAGTCAACATTTTTGCCTCAGGAAAATGGATGTTTTGGGAGAACATTGAGTGTTTAATTTTCATAAAATTTGTTGTCAAAATGATTGTTAGAGAAAAACACACGAAAGCTCACTGCAGGGGGAAAACTACATTCTGGCGGTATTGGAGAAATTGGGGTGTCACAGGGAAATGAGAACTGACGTATCTGTTTATGCGTATGGTCCCGCGGTGCTGTCAGGACAAAGAGGCAGACCGCCCACCCATTTCCCAATCATCCAAGCCAAAATTACACCAAGTCTGTACCTGATAGCGATGATGATCCTGGTGGTACCTTTTGAAGGAGACGGACACAGGCACGCCGATGATGCAGTTACCGATGAACCCAATGACCCGATTCCACATGGGCCGACTGTGACCGAAGGCCAAGTTGTGTCCGACCTCGTGGAGTGCAAGGGACATGGCATGGTTGACAACCCCGCCAAAGCAGTAGGCCACAACAAAAATAGTCGTCCAGGCCTGGTCCTTCAGCAGGTACGCCGTGGTGACTTGGAAAATCACCATGATGACCATGATGTAAGCAATATTCACGTCATGGCCCATCAAGCGCTTGATTTCTGGGTATTTTTCTGTGTGGTCAATCATACATGTACATGAATGCCATGATTACAATAGTTTCATAATGACATTTGATAGTTCTTTAAAGTTTCTGAATTACTCTCAACTAAATGTAGAGATCAACTGCTGTGGGTTTTAACTGCCAATCCGATATCTGATGTTTTAATCGGAACATCGGCCAGTGTCCAATCCGATGTTTTTACCGACAATAACTGAAACGTTACCTTACCGGATGTAGGCCAAATAACAACACAAAACCAGTGTATTCCCTTAAAATGTCAGTTTACACATTACCGGTAATAGGATTAGTTTTTGCCTTCATAGTCACTTTGAAAGAATAAATCATGTAAATTCTGTATATCGATCGCCCCCCGTGCACGATACTGATGTAATCGATCACCTAAACCTACACATTGCAGAACAGACATAGCAACTAGGGCTGAATCAAAGTAGCCTTTAGTCAAGGCACGCCATTGCACTGCTGCACCATTGCGTTGGTCTCTTCATCGTGCATGTCGACGGCAGAGGTGCACGTTGTGTGTTCAGACACACGTGCCTTGAATAAAGGCAAAATTGCGGGCTACCTTCAGACCGGTCACACAGCACCTAGTGCGTGGTGCCACACATGGTTTAGTTCCCAGGCTGTTTTAATGGCTGTCAAGGGAAACCGTACACATGTACACTGACTGCTCCATGGGGCTGCGGTCCGTGCATTGAGTTGTTACGGCACGGATCGCACAGGTGTAATTATCGGGGATACTCTATTTGGGTTTAACCATGGTATAACTGTTTTATTTATCACATCAAATGACAAAACCACAGTTTGCATTCATGCTCAAATAAAAAAAAAGAGATTTACATTTGCCAAAACAGAGAGCAGAGTTTGCTCCTTTTTTCAATTTAACATCAGCACTCATATCCGCAAAGGTCAAATTTTGCCGATACAATGTTTTGCCAATGTTGCTGAACATCAGCACAATCCGATGTAAACAAACAATCGATTTCCGGAGCTTCGTTGTCGATACTGACGTGGAGTAGGCCTACATGTACACTGCATGCGCGCGAGCGCGACCACAAAGGGGTTTCCCCAATATTCGCATCAATACCAGTACCCCCTCTAGTGCACGTGCATGCGCTCTGCCCCTTTTTGGGGTCGCCCTATTGAACAAAGTTTTACTTTCGGCCGGCCCTCGATCCTGCGTTCATGCGCTGGTGCATGACGTGTGCTGTGCGTGCTAGCATTATGTCAGTACAAACGGCATGCACGGGTCATCCTCAGTACGGAGCGATGATCAAAATCCAGGACAAACTTACCTGAATCGACAACGGGGATAGAAATAAACCAGGCAGATCAAAGCAATTAAACTGGTGCAATGAATTATATGGATGGTATTAAGGCAGCATGCCACGTAAATCGGCAAGCAGCACATGTCGACATTTCGAAGTCATTATTTTTTGAGTCAAGACTGAGTGCTGACTTGGGCGGAGTTTACAAGTTTATAAATACTTGACCCCTACTTTTTCTGGAAAACAGGTTTTCAAGCTTCTAGCACTTTGAACCCTCCCGTAACAAAACATCCTTTTAGCATTTCTTTATACGATCATACGATGACATGATTTTGAGATGTAGGCCTAGGCCTAGCGATGGTCAAAACTTATTCTTAACACAATAAGCGCTCACGTGGTTTCCAACTAAGTTGTGCAAATTTGCATTCAAAATACGCTGCCCACCAGTGCAGCGCTGACAATGATATCCAAGGCTGCATTCGTGCGGTTACTCCCGATAACCTGAGTGTGGATGCGCGCACATTACACTCTGGTCAGGGGTATGATCCTCTGTGATGGGGAGTATACTCTCGCTGACCCGAGGACGGTACTCCTGCCGTTCGTGCGCTTGGGATAGTACTCGGGTAAGCACCAGTAGCTCACTCGAACGCAGCCCAAAAGGTTGAACTCGCCCCAACTCGGAATCGCACTGCATGCATTGGCTTACATGGTACACTCTCATTACACATACAGCCAGCTGCAAAGATGGCCGCGACGTGAGTTTTTTGGAAGGGCATTACGGCCAACTTGGAAGGGTACGTGGCCATTGGCCACGGTAAAGATCGAGGCCTGCCTGCGTATAATGTCACATTAGAAGGCATTTCTTTCTTCCTCAAGAATAGGTTCAAGTAAACCTTCTGTGCATTCACTGTCATTAAATTTAAATAACAAAACATGTCCTCTGGGAGGGCACTCCACGCAGGCCCTATCTTTGAGCCTTATTGCCAATACAGCATTCTCGCGGTCGGAGGCTGATCTATTTATTGCACTCACGTCTGGGCAAAGGGGCAATTCCCCATTCACTTTGTACAAGGATTTGCAAGCATAAATAGTGAAATTTCAGGCATATTTGATGTAAAGGTTAAGAGTTTAGTCAAGAATTAAAAAATTCAGATTTTCCCCATAGACGGCAACACTATTTTGGCCCCTTGAGTTTCAAGTGTGAAATATGGAATTAGCTTCCTATTGACCAATCAGAGAGAAGAATCAAGATTCAGTGACATCATCCCAACCGCGAGAATGGGTGATTTTGCACAATCAATGGTAGAAAGGCATTGTAGGAGGGAAAAGGGGGCAATGTTTGCCCCTTTTTCCTTTCCCCAATGCCTTTGTACAATTGTGGAAAATCACTCATGCGGTATTAGCGATAAGTTATAGGACTAGAATTATGTTTATGAACACATTTAAAATAACACCAAAACTGGGCCCTCAAAAAAAAACCCTGCTAAAACAGTTAAATGGGCCCTAGTAACATTAAGAAACACGATCAGTAACCTTTTCTTTTCTGGCTGTTATTTTGATCACCAGTGTGGGGACGGTTGTTTTCTTTGTTTTGTACAGCCTAATTTGTCTTGTTAACATTATTAGTAGGGCTGCATACCTGCGGGTAATACTTTTGCAGTCCCTGACCCACACACAGTAACTGTTTTGTCTTGTTATGTATTCAGATTTTCGTCCCTGCTGGGCCTACTGCTTATATTTACCATCTTTACTTGTAGGCCCTACATGTACATGCCCTTTTTGTGTTTTTGTAGTTTATTTTTATAGGCATAAATAGGCCTAGGCCTACATTTTGTTCAATTTTGCTTGGTTGTTCTTGTGATGGTCAAATAAATAATAGTAATAATAAAAACCCGGTGGGTCAAAAAAATTCCAACCGCGAGACTTAAAAATGTGGCTCATGCTAGTAACAGTAACACCTACGGGAGGAGCGGGGAGACAGTACTGGGCCGGACGTCCGTACTGTATGTACAGTGTACGGGCGGGCGCGAAGGACACCTAACTGCCATGACTGCCGATGAAAATGAACACACCCGCTTAGCTTGGCTACTCACTCAACATTTCCTTCCTCCTCGTGAAATGCGGTTCATCCGTGTACACCCAGGCAAAATCTGATTTCGACACAGACAGCCCCATGTTGAGACAATGCAAATATTCCGTTGACAACGATACAAGTTGACAAATATGCTAGTTCATTATCAAATACAAGACAAAAATGTGCTGGCACGTCTGCAAGGTTCTCTCTTTTATTAGGTAACCGGTCACAGCTCCGCAGATTATTCAACACATCACAACACATTGATTTGTCTGTCGCCCCGGATGCCGTGATGCACGCGCGCACGCACTCACGTACCACTTTTTGTGCCAATGTTGTCTAGTACCCTGCTTCCGCCGTGCTTGGCACGTCCCAGAGCAACGGACGATTATGTCAAGATTCATTCAACAAGGGAGGAAGAGTGTAAGTTTGGGGAGTAAATATTTTGCTTTATTTCACTAGTATTGAATTTAGAAATAAATAACAAGCATTTCAATATATTCTTTGACGATGTGTTAGTGAGAAGTTGGGCCTAAGTGAGAGTATTTTGCTTCATATTTTGCGATGATTTATCCAAGGGTCCATTAGATCACCCCTTACTTCGGACTGCACCAAAATTTTTCTGGACTGGGCGTGTAACACGCATTGACTGACAGCTGACTAGGAACCAGTCTGGCTTATCACGCGCTTTACTTTTGCCTACAGAGGGAGCTTTTCTTTTTTTCGTCGGTCGGTAGGTATAATATATGGTCCCAGGGTTTCCATTTTAAAAGGAAAACCACATCATATCATTTTGTTGCGGTTTGGGTGACTAAGGTGGCACTTCTTTTCCCCCCTTCCTTGAAATAACGTCATAATAAGTAGCAAATTTCGCTTCTGTGAATGGCAAGCCACCCCAAACCCTTTGTGAAAAAAATTATTGTACCCCCTAACCTGTGTTGGTAATAAAATGCCAAATCTAAAAAGAATTTAGAAATATGAAAAGGTTTGAAACGGGGGAGTCCTGAAATATACTTAGATCTGCATGGATTAGGAAACAGTTTGTTCAGTTCAAGAAATAAGAACATGGCTTAAAACTCCTCTCAGTAATATCAAACTACGAAGTGCTTTTTTGTATAAATCATTCGAACATGTAATGCTGTGTATTCAATTTATTAAATATAGTAACCATAGCTTGTGTTCCAGATGCCATATTCCAAATTTAGAAGGACCCCGAAAAGTAGGTTTGTCTGTGACACTTTTAAATTTAATAGTCAATCACTGTGTTGGCAACAAAGTCTTTTCACAACCAAACTTTCAAAAATTTGAAAAACAACCAACAAATCTCAAAATCAAAAGGCATTTTAAAACAAAGAAGACGAGGAGGTAAGATGCGCCCATTTATGAAGTCCTAGCATGTCTGGCTCAAACTTCACAAGTATATTATTATAGAATAAAAACTAAAGCTGTTGGCTCTCATCAATATCAGGAAATTACCAAGTGTGGACACTGAGGGTCTGTAAAGAATATAATTAATAATGTTAGGAAATTTTGAATAACACTTTACCACATAATAATCATGTTCTCAAACTTTCATGAGCGGGAACAAGGAATGGTATTTCTATCACCAGTGCCCCCAAATTACCGTTCACATCTATTTACACTTTCAAGCGTGAATTGTTATAACTTGCAGTATGCACAGTTTGAGTTATGTGAAATTTAAAACAAAGAACAAAATGTGTTGATGGTCATGAGCATTATATGAATTATGTGAAGCAAAATTACAGGCCGGTCTCTTTTTACACAATAAGTGGAGCATAAAAAGTTTACAAAGCTTTAATTAACATTACAATGAACTAATATATCCTCCAAAGCACCTTTGAATTCCTTGATGTCAAGTTCAGATACACGAACCCGGTACTTAACCACACACAAGATACCCAGCTCAACCATACAAAATACACGCACATGTATTGACATAATTGTGTTCAGTTTAATCTGTGCTGTTGCTAACACTTCCACGAGAGGAGCAAAGATGAAAAAAATTCATGAGGTGTTATGCCAACACAATTCTAGCTCAGAGGACATGAAGCACATGGCATTGTCCACCCTCTGTAGTCTTGGGTAACCAGCACTTTCAACCCAAACCACTGGTACATATGTACAGGGTAACCAACTGATCAATAATGAAATGTAATTACATGTACCGAGTTTGTTGTGGTTTGAATGTGGAATGCAAGGAACTATGGGTGATCCAAAGTTCCATACAATCTCTCTAAATGAGGGGCTCGTACTTGGGGCTGTAGTTAAGTCGCAATAGGCAGATGAATAGTGATAAAGGAATGCTTTCTGAAGCTGTCAATTTGAATATTTTGTCACATGACTTCAAGTTGGATCACATGTTGACTTGTGACAGACTTAACCACCATTAGCTAGAATGAGAGGACACATAAAAAAAAAATTGTTGATTGGTGGGAACTCACCAGGCACATGCACAGATTTATGCACGCTTGGTGCGAGATGCGCTAGGTTGACATGGGTGAACTTCCACTTGGGGCAGATAGACTCGTCACACTCAGCAGCTGCCCCGCACCTGATATAGCTGTGTACCCAACCCCCTTCCCCCCATCAGCCCATCTGATTGTTTTTCTAGCACTGTACCTGAATTGCTTGTCTATAGCCTGCTGTAACGTCTATGGAAGATGCCAGCTACTGCTGAATTTCCATAGAAGTATCTGTTACACCTCGTTTTATGTAATTCAGGCTCAACATGAGCTTACTCGGCAGTTGCAGTCTTCACATACGATCTCTGAGTTCACTAAGATAATCTGTGTTATTGAGAAACAAGCTCATTACCACGGGAGACTTTGAGATGCTTCGGGGCAATGGGCCAACCAGTCCTTTTCCACGGTTGCGTGCATGCCCAGAACTGGCAAAGAAGACCAGTTTGTCTGCAACCAAGCGATTCAAGGTCTCCCAATTAAAAAACTTGGAGACAGGTGGGTGGAAGCTTTTTCAATTCAGCAACATCTCGTAACTATCAAACTCCCACTGAACTGCATTTTATTTTCACAATACTTAATCTGTGTCCCTTTGAAGGTCTTCACTCCATTTCAACAAAAAGGCCTCTGAAGTTTCTTGATTAAAATAAAACGTTTTAGTTTACAAATATCTGTACAGACCATGAACTTCGCACTTCCCTTGAAACACTAATATCATTTTCCAAGGCTCCAATAGTGCATACTTAAGAATTTCAAATACAATATTAATCAATAGGATGAATTCACAATTTTAAAGACTCAAGGAACATGTCGGTTTAAACAAGCAATTTTTGGACCCAAGTCTGAATCAACGATGAATATGGTTTAACTGCCATTTTTTTTACAAGTTCATCTAGGCAAAAATGCATCACTGGCAGCATCTACTGAGACACCCTGTAGGTAACTGCAACTGCAGCACAGGTTACCTATTTTTATCGTTACCCTTTAATACATTTTACACAGCCCTCTGCATTCTATCTATGAGAGCCTATAAAGGACACATCACCTAAGCACAGGGTTGTGCATGACTGCCAAGTGCCAATCGGCACATGCCAGCAAGCCATTCACTTGAAAGAAATGCTCCAAATTTGTCAGTTGTAATCTGCCAAATTGTAGAGTCTCTCTCAAAAAGACACAGCAATGCCTTGCATATTGAACACTGCTAAAGAATGACCAGGCATGGAGGTCACTCTCCACAAGTAGACAGATGGGCAGTATCCCCCAAAAAGAAAGGAGTTCAAATACTGGGTCTATCTCTACTTTACTATGTATGTGTTGACCCAATATTTTGCCCTTCACACTTGCAACATGCTCCTGCAAAACAGAGCAGTCAGATAAATGGAAAATTCCTCTTAGCAGTCATTGGTCAACTTTCCTTTTATTGCGAGATCTGAATATGCAACAGACAGAAGAACTGCTACAATCATTGCGACCTAAGTGTGACAGCTGGCAATGTCCGTGTACTTACTGTATATCTGGTCACCAGTGAACAAAATCATCATTACGGTATGCCCAAAAGATTGTGCCGGTAGATTTCCTTTTACTGTATGAATGTTACAGTGTGCACACTCGGATGCTAATACAGCAGGTTTTGGGGGGGTTCTGATAATAACTCCTCGGGCCCAATTTTTTAGAAAGTAAAACCTGGAGCATCATGTTAATGCACTGGCAGACTAACAACCAGACACTGCTAGGGATCACATTGGAATAATGGGCTTGGCCTTGGCGTGGGTCAAAATGTGAGACTTGAGGTTGGTGGACTGGGCAAACTTCTTGTTGCATCCGTCGAATGGACAGACGTACGGACGATCTCCCGTGTGGATCCGGACGTGAGTGCGCAGGTTGAAGTCCAGGGAGAAACGTTTCCCGCAACCTTCAAACGTGCACTGTAATGAGAAAAGGCAACGTAAACAACGTGGTGAGCAAATGCTGAAGAGAAAAAGTTACAGAACCTAACATATCAACTGATAGTCAGCTTAAAATATCAAAAACTCGGGCAATAATTGTAAAGTTCATTAACACTTCTCTAATAAAATGCTACTTAAGAACAAATCATTACTATCAAAATTACTACTGAAATCTGTGGCTAAGATGCATTTTTTTTTGGAGGGGGGGTACATTCTGATTTGCAACTCAACTATGTCCAAATACTTATCATGCTCTTGAGGCCTCTGTACTAATGACGCCACTTTTGTTACATGCATGCTTTCTTATGGGACCGAGATGGGTATAAGGGATACAAATCCCCATCAGAAACATGTGAGCAAACCCTCACATCACCAGCGCACATGCTTGTACCCAGAAGAATTTCAGTTAACATCTTCACAAATTTGGAAGATTTTTGCCTCTCCAAACTCAGTCTTAAGCAGCAGTGAAATCTCTCACATGTTTGCAGAGCTAAGCTATGACAGTGAACACGATTCCTTGACAGTATGAACAGATATAATAACAAGCGTATTCAACAAAGTAAAAAGCAAAACAAAACCTGACAAACCTAAAGAGGACCGTTACTGTGACGTGGCAGAAACTAATTCTTAACGGATGTGAAAAAATTACCTGAAATGGTTTTTCACCCGTGTGCACCAACTGGTGCCGTTTGAGCTTGGAGCTCTCCACAAAGGCTTTGCCACACTCAGCACAGACATGGACGCGTGGGCCGTGGGTGTGCAGATGTTTACGCATGGCCGAATTATCGCGGAACATCTTAGTGCAGCCCTGCATTACGGAAAAGAAAGGAGGCAAGAAAAACATGGCTCAGCTATCATTTTTTTTGAACTTCTGACACGGATAAACTTTTTTTTCCCTATTAATAATCTCTTATGGTATATCTTAAAATATACCCAGCAAGATAAGGGACCAAGAAATCTGGAGTGGGTAGTGTGTAGACTCTACACTCTGCAAAGACTACACAAATGCTGTGCCTCGCATGAGCACAGATACATACATGATAAGCAGCCGGACCCCTCATACCCTTGTGTTGTGTTCAAAAAAGGTAAACGCGAATCCAACGTATACAAAGAAATTTTAATGGTGTAGTACATCCAACTTCTACGGGTTTGTTTCCACACTGTACAAAAGAAGGTCTACGTGCATCTACACAGTACAAAAGAAGGTCTACGCGCATCTACACTGTACAAAGGAAGGTCTATGCGCATCTACAAGGTAAGGGTCTGAACTTGTTATCCCATATCTTGCTGCAAATGATTTCTCAATCAGATTGGTTTTCCACAGCCCAATTACTTTCAGATCAATGATATAAAAACAACTGGTTAACCTTATTTGGTTAACTTGATATTTGTACTGTCATGTGCATGGATCATTTCATGTACAAAACTGAGAGTCAATATTAAGTGATATCAAACTAATCACACGATATACTTCGCTTAAAGAATTCTAAGAAAAAAACTAACCACCCACTGCTCACTAGATGCTTGTGCAGACATGTAACTCTGTGCATGTACATATGTGAGCATGCAACCAATAGACAGCACCAGAAAATAACAGATGGAAAACAAACTTGCAGCTGGGAACATGTTATCAAATCCTTCAAAGTCAAGACAAGCCAGACTGATATTTTAAAGGATTTGGGCCCACATTAGGGCAGGACAGGAGGTGAGTTAGAACAAGGCAACATGGCAAACATAAGAAAAATAAAAGGAAAGACGTACATGTACCTTGTGTGGGCACGCTATGGTCCTTGGTAAATCATCATCTTTAGGCTTCTTGGGTTTAATTCTGTGGAGGAAAAAATACATGTTAACTTGTCATGGTATTTTATGCATTTTTTTGGTCTGAATTGGTATGATTTGAAATTTCCAATCAATTTTGAAAGAAGCAGTCACCTCTTTTGTTTCCTAACACTTTAAACGTTGCAAAGTTCTTAGTGTTCTTCTGAAATGCCAACCACAAGCACAAAGTCTATACGAGAGAAATCACTTCAGCTGAGTGTTCCTCCATCCCATGTGTTTTCCTGGTAAAAAATGGTGACATTTACCCAATCCATTACTCATGAACTCAGATGTAGGCATAAATTTCAATTTCAACTGATCCCGGAACTGCAGTCAAATGTTTAATAACGTTCATCACAAGTCCATCGTGGGTCTGATTACAAGTAACTGGAGACGAACAACGAATGGATGACTTGTGAAGACTCCACTAAACCAACCGCCCATTCAGAGCTTTTACATTTGGTATTCACGCTTTGCAGTTTCGCCCCAACACCAAATAAATCACCCCACCAAGTTTTGGAAATGGTACCTGGCAAACTCAGCCAGTTGTTTGGGGTCACTCAGGTCAATGCCCGGTATGCCTCCTGGTGGCAGCTTCTTGCCGGTGAGGTACTCCGAGTAGTCTGGAGGCTGTTCGTACGAACTGTGATGGCCCTGGTCTTGACTCGGAGACAATGCCTGCTGTGAACCCAGGTCTGGATCATCAGAAAGATTCTTTTTGTCTTCTGAAACATTTTGAAAACAGGAAAAAGAATAACCTGAATGATAACGGCAGAACGTTTAACAAGGTTTAGATTTTCTGTGAGGACACTCTGAAGCACTAGTCTGGATGGAACAAGAAAAACTTTCAGTTGGAGTTGCTGAGATTGACATATACATGTACTGGTAATCACACAATTTTGATTGATACAATGGCTGCCCTATGAAGGGACTCATTTGCGGAAGGCTGAAACATTGCTTTATGAAAACAGGCCAACTCGTTTTCTTTCCTTTTACAAGGGAAGGATACTGGTTAGAAGTTTTTAACAAGTTGTTGAGCAACCTTTTCTAATGATTGAAGCCACCCCCCCTCCAAAAAAAAATAATTAAAAAGCCCCAAAATGCCAATGCAGGTATAGAATTATACAAAACCATTTCAAGTTCTACTATTTACAGTGATGGTATGAACTCAAAGAAAACAAGATAAAGTTTGATGAAAACATGCAACAAAGGTACAATTTAAACAACTTGCATTTGATTCAACACATTATATGTAAGTTGTGATGGGATTATTGTATTCAAAACCTTGGTAGCACAAGAACATGTACACTTTCAGTTACATGTATACAGCCGGATTTTATTTCTAAAACATCAGCTATATTTTCATATTTTCTGAAAAAAGGGCAATGTTTTTCAGTCCAATATCTAATTTATAATGTTTTTTTGCAAAAAGCTGACCCTCATTGCTTAAGATAAACTGTGCACAAGAAGAGAAAACGACACCATGGCATTAGGATGAACATTCTTTCCTTATAATTTTCAAATATCACAATTCCTGAAATAAAATTGTTGCAACATCTTTGCCGATGCACACAACTGTTTTCTGAGAGAATCAGTTATTTTCCCACTGGTGTCTATTTGTTACTGTAATTTTTTCATATTTTAGGGGGGTATTTATGGATACATGATTTAAAACAACATTAAAGGAATGTTCAGTCTGCATTAAATAGGTATAGCAGGTACACGTGTATTTTCAAACGCTGATTTCTTTGCAACAACTGGATAATAGTCAGCAAAAATTAGGCATAACAGACATTATTATATAAGCTTCCATGTGAATCAAAATATTCTGCAGAAATTGTCCGTTTGTACACTTTAGGTGTCCAAATCTGGAAGGTGAATTTTCGGTCAGATGTCGCAGCGCGCGGCCATTTTGAGTTTAATTTGACTTTGATGCGATCTGACCCAAATCTTGTTTTCTCTCAAATGCTCCCACAAATGAAACTCTAGAGGGCAGCACACATTTAAAAAATCGTTACAAAAAGGCTCGCAGGGCCTTTTCTACCTTTTTGCCGAGCAAAAAGCGGCCAGATACTGCAAAAATCGAGAATTTCCAATGCCTTTCGCCACAGTTTTTTAAGGATTTTAGATTTACATGATTTTCGAGGTTAAAAGTGGAAGGAAACATTGTAAATAAACTAAGGTTTCTTCTACAAGATGAGTGGTAGATTGTTGCCTGACTCGACGTTGCATCGGAGATACAGAGAGATATGTAAAGGCATGTGCCCAAATTTTCTGCACCCGTCAGAAAAAAGATTACTTTGCCATGTGCTCCAGTGAAAAGGCGTATTATGAAGCTTATAGCAAAATACTGTGTGAATGTCCACAGGCTATTTTATTTTCTATAAAATCTATGAAAGTCTTTACATGAATAAATGTCACTTTATTGTAATTAACTTGAATGGGGAACTATCTGCCGGTACATCTACTAATAAAAAACCATTAAAAATAATAACAATGTGATGAGCTCACGTTTCTGTGATTAGTTCCCAACTCACTGCAAACAGATTGTTCCTTGTTGGTTCCTCTGATGTAAGACATTGTTACTTAGAAAAATATTGGTTTTTATTTTCAGAATGTCAGAGTTTAAAGCTGTTATGTCTGATGGCAGAGATGAGTCTACAACTGAGTTTGACTCTGATGAAGCAGTTTACTCTCGATCTGATATGACTGCACAACAATTGTGATTTATTCAATCAGCCAGTCAAGAGTTTCAAGAAGGGTTTTCATTTCACTGTAAAATTGTGTTCAATTTACAACTGTATCTTAACTTGAGCTACTAATTCTAGCAAGTAGCAATGAATTTTTCAATCCATTTGTTGATAAGATATTTTATTAACTTAAAATAGACTTTTTAAAATAACCTTGTAAATTCACAATTTTCTGGTGAATACACACTGACATACTTCAAAAGAACTGGCTGAAAGCACGCATCATTCCACGAATAAATTTTCTCAATCACTTTCATCCATGTGCTTAGTCTTTTTTTACAAAACAAGCAAATTTTGGATGCCACATTAAAACCCCATTAGTTTGTAGTAATTGATCATAACTATTTGTTTCTTGCGGGGGTGCAATGAGTGGCCATCCCAAAACTTGCAAGTGTGTAACTCTCCTTTGATCGCTGTTATCGGGTCCACGGTCATCCTTCATTCCACAACATCGAGTACAAGGGCGATGACATTGAGACTTACAATTTGGGAAGGATATGGCTAGTGGTGACTTGAAGGTCTTAGATGCAAAATAAAAGTAATGTTTCAATGACAAAATATGTTTCTCAATTCACAAAATGTAATAATTAAAATGGGAATCACGTTACATACTGTACAGTTTATAATGACTGAATTTTTCAAAAAAATCCTTTGAATTTGGCCGAATATATGAACCTCTCCCATCCAAATGAAAACTCCAATCCCTAATTAACTGTTGAAGCCCGTACATAGGTCAGAAAATTGTAGCGAATGTAAAACACAATACTTTTTTGCAGTGCACCAACTTTTGCAAAAAGTTTGGAAATTTCTAAACTTTGAAGTGTTGTTACTTTTAAATGAAACATTATGTTGACTTACTTTTTCCCAGTGTCCTTCTCTTGTTACAAGCTTTCATTTAATGTATATTTCGAACAATTTCTCAAAACAAAACAATTTTGGTGTTATACTATTATAGGCCCCCTACCTACATTGAATATAATTACCAGTAATTACAAACAAAAATAATTTAATTCTGTTTTCGCAGGCATCATTAATTGCTACTCACCACATACATGTAACTTTGTCTCATGTATCATTATAATCCATAGCCTTACAGTTTAAATGCCTGACTTTGACCTCGACAACTGTCTGAAGTAAAAAGTAGACCCTTCCGCACAAAAACTAACAAAGTCGAGGAATGCACAATCTCCTGTTTATATATATTCTTGATCATTTTTGGCACTGATTTAACAGGACTGTGTGAAGGTCTTTTGTTCCCGATGTCCCTTGCGCTTACCGTCGGAGATTTTCTCCTACAAAATCCATTTGGGCCTGCTAGTAGCAGCACCATGCCCACAACTTGACCAGCGCTAGCCGCCATCTTGAAATTGACAAAACGTTCGTCGCTAAAATTTAGCAAATAAATCACACCGTTGTAATCGTCAAAAACTGCGCCAAAACGTACACTGACACATATCTAGACATCCTTTCGTAAATGTAGATTACGATGATGCTCTTTCTGTTCGAATAAACGAACTTTTTTCGAGGCTTTTCAGAGCTCAAAATGTCCGACATTCCGAAGCTACGCCATCTTGAATCGCCATTTTAAGATGGCTGCGCCCATGAAATAAACATGGCGAGAAATATGGCCGAATCTGTGCCAAATGAACACATTTTCACGGAAAAGGTTGAGAATCGTTTGATTTAAAGTTTTAGAAACCATGCAGCATTGGTCGAAGAGGTAACTTGCATAACTTCGCCTATTTCTTTCCAAACATTTGACACTTCTTCTTCATGTAACGCGAGTGGGAATCTCAAATATTGGAAACAGCGCATCCGCAAATGTAACTTTATGATTTCAAAATAAACGTTCCACTAAACTTTTTAAAAACGTTCTATTGCCCCAAAATGTAAATCAACCACTGAAATAAAATCCTTACCTGAAGCCCACATTGTGACTGAAAATTTGCCTTCCAAAGTTTGGATTTGCACTTGCTTTTGTTCCCATTTTCGGCTGCCTTTCTCACCATCGTACATGGACTCGCCGCTGGCCAGAACCCTCGTTCTTGACGTTTTTCTACCCTTCTTTCGCTTTGACGTCGTTCCAAAATGATCTTCCAAATCATTGTTTGGAACAGGTACCGAATCTATGATATATGTGGACCCTCCGAAGTCGTCAACATCCCCAACTACCTCTTCTCTTGTTTGCAAAACGATTTCGTCTTGATCATCGGACAGCGGCTGGAGAGCGATCATCGGTTGCCCCTCGATCGTTTCAACAGTTTCGACAGTAGCCACGTTTTCGATGTTGTCCACCGGGATTGTGACAATATTCTCAGCTGGAATCGTTTCAATATTTTCCATAGGAATGCTTTCTATTTCCACCTCAGTGACCGGGATTTCAACTTCTGAATAGCAGACGTCAGCCATCCCTGGATCTATCTCGGACACGTCCGCCATATCTGGATCGGACGCCATTTTCGGAGCAGACTGCCTTCGTCTTTGCTGGGGGTCCGGGTCTAACGCGGTCCCATGTGATGACGCAACTAATATGCATAATCATTGACCATTCAGGGAGCAGGAAACCTATATTAATCATTCATAAGTCACGTGGTATCTCAACTTTCAATAATTTCGCATTTTACGGAAGACCGATTTAAAAAAAAAAAAAAGATCCCCACAAATTCTTTGTGACGATTGATTAGTAATCCACGATACCTCATGGATAGAGGGCAGATCAAATTGGGAAAGGTATTTATGTATCCCTGCATCACGGTTGAAGCATTCGTTATTTACCCCTCTGCAGCCTAAATTTTGCAACACGAGTCGCTGTCCTGTCATTTTCAATTGAACGGTCGTTGGGTACTCTTGTTAATTAATATGCAAATTTGTTTAGGGCGTTCATGTTCAGCAAACACAAGGTACATGTATGTTTACACAGAACAGAGCAGCACAGTAAGTTTTCGCAAACTTTGGCACATTTCCCATTCAGGGGCGGATCGAGGGGGTGCAACCCCCCCCCGTCACGGATTAAACATGCTAAATGAGTGAAATGAGCTAAATCAGTGAAATGACGGGAAATGAGAACCCCCAAAAAATCCTGGATGAGGATTGCGCCGTCCATCTATCCATCTATAGTTGAACACATCGTTTCCGGTGGATCAAAGATGAGGCCTAACCCGTGAGCGCGAGCGGTCCGTGAACAACTGTGTATACAACAGTGTCTCCCCCGTTTACTTAAAATTAAAGCTAGATACGCCCCTGCCATTATAAATCCTTGCATGAAACCCAAGTTTCGCCGCTAGACGATAAAAATCGGATCGATAAGCCCAACGTGAGGGGTTTCTTGCCGTTCAAACTTAACTTGAATAACTTTTAAAGCTTCCAAAGAAAGGTCGTTAATGGACTCATTAATTTTGTCAATTCCGACAGAACATGCCGAGGCTGAGTTTGGGCGGCTTGTTCCCGTATGTTCACGAACAGCTCGATTCGTTGTTCGTGGGTTGACCGCTCGAACGCCGGGAACAAAAACCGGTTATCACAAGCAACATGCAACATGGCGGCGTCGATGTACTTTATTCGAGAGTTAAGGTTTGGATAGGCTGAATTCTTTTCTATATAAACAGGAACATTCATTTCTGTGTTACGGAAAATAATTAATGTTAATTTTGCAAAACGTCCCTTTGTCTACATGGCCTATGGCTTTGGAAACCATCTCTGTACTTTTTGCAGCTGTTCAAAAATCAAAATCTCACGAGTTTTTCCGTGAGTTCCTGTAAAACCCTGACGAGGAGGTGGTGTATGATCCTGTTCCGAGAGCAGTGTTGTTGAGTCGTGTTCCCGCTGTTCGAGCGCGAGAACAAGAAACCCGTGTCAAGAACAGGCCGCCCGAACTCGACGTAAAACATTGAAGCCAACACGTACTGCAACGTGGAAACAAGAAGAGCTAAAACCCAAAAAAGGGCATATCGTCGTGTGCATTAAGCCTTTGTCGGTTTCAGGCCCATAAGATTGAAAGATCGGAAAAGGTGTTACTGACTATACTTTGTTCTCACATTCACTTTCTCGCCAGCATAATGGCGCAGTAAAGATGTTGACCGAAAGTTGTTCAAGACTGAACACTGTGTGGCGTTTTTCCGCTAATGAGTGGAAAGAACGACCACGCAGAGACGTTCCCGAATGTCAGGTGACTTGTTATTTGTCCGTCCCAATAGGAAAAAAACGTAAGTGGCATATATGTCTGCGTACTGTAACGAATTCGCGACTACAACAATACGTATACCATTTAAATGTTCATGCTATTCTGGGGGGAGCGGGTTAGCGTGTTAGCGTGTTAGCGTAACAGTTCTTTCCTCGCTTTGCACCAATGAGGCCCGGGTTCGAGTCCCGGCTTGGCCCCAGGCTTTAGGAGCATTTGGTTTCCAGTCCATACTCGCTCTCGCAGGATTTCTCCGGGCACTCCGGTTTCCTCCTGCCTCTAAAACTGGACCTTCTTCTCCTTACTCCGTATTGTGATGCTGATTAATAAAGTGCATGAATAAACGTACCGTTATTCATATGAATAAACGTACAGTTATTGGCGCAAATAGCCTGAGTTGCTGAAAGCGCCATTAAAACTAAAACAACTACATGCTATTCTGGACATTAATGAGGGCGCTGATGCTGTGCTGTCATTCCGGAAAAGCACTGCTCAGTTTATCTGTTTTTCTGTTCAAATTGTGAACCCGAGAAAGGGTTGCTCGTTGGCATATTGCTATGTACAGGCATGAAATTAAACCAACAATATCCATATCTAGTCTACACATGATAGGTTACACCAAGAATGCTCGCATGTTCAGATGTTGGTACCTCGTTCATTTGATCAGAAGGCTCTGGGCTGCCGGTATAGAGAGCAAAATATCAAAATGCCAGCAGTTTTTATTACACACATAAATTCAACGTTGAGGGCGTTACCTGTGGGGATATCATTTCTACTCTCGACAATTTATTATAGCAAAACAAAAATTGAAAATAGAGTCCATTGAAACATAACGTTACATTTTCAAGGGCTGAAGAAGAATGCATCGTAATAGCTCCTTTAAAAGGTTTTTTTTTCGGAATTCATGTCTCATTTTCATCACCAATGCAGTTTTAAGAGTAGCCTCAACCAAGAATCCAGTTACATGAGACAATAAAATGTATATGTACAGCCAGCCCAGTCCATCACATCTGAGAGCCGTTTGAATGTTATCCGGTTTGGGAATTAGTCCCAAGTCCACAAAACTTAATAGCTCTTTATTGTTCTGCCGTTATTATCTGTTATTATATTCAGCCTTTGTTTCAGGGCAGAATTTGGAAATCTTGACGGTTCCCTTTCCTGCGCGTATCCCCACTTTTGTGTTCCCTTGCAAAATGTAATGATAATCCAGCTAATTCAAAAATACTTTTGTCACTCGTTATTCGATTCGATTCGATTCAATTCAGTTCAATTCAATTCAGTTCAGTTCAATTATTTACCCCAGAACTGTGTGGTCCCCGGCGACGACAGCCTGTCGGGGGAGCAGTAGCGGACGACGAACCCGACAGTTCTGGGATACAACAGATGGCTGTCAGTTGCCTTTGTTCTGTTCTTCTCTTCAGCTGCAGAGAGCTGTCATGAAATCGATAAATTTGCAGTTGGCAAATTCAGGAAATTGAAGATGATTTGTTGAGTTGAAAGTTTCAAGGGAGGTGCCTTCCTATTGACTTTAACGGTGCGCCAGTTAAAGACCACGACAAAGAACACAAGTACGTGTACAGTGCGCCCCCATTATCAAGAAAACTCCCAGTCATACTACGCCATGCCACGCCATGCCACGCCAGCCACAAGCCGGCCTACCTGACCAAGAACTTGGACCACCTTTGATTGGGCCCTTTTCCAATACTCGACTTGGGCTCTGTCGAAGGTTTCGTTGTCAAAACCAATCCCCGATTGTGGGTCTGAAGCGTTTAAATTAAATAGGATTACTGTAATTTCTGGCTTTCTTGCATCTTATTTGATGTTTTGTTGCACTATTAGACTAATTACTACGCTTACAGCTTCAAAGTCAGCTAGTTAAAAAACAGGTAAAGCCTGAGACGGAGCCGGAGTTGAGTATTGGAAAATGGCCTTGGACGTCACGCCTGGTAGTCAGTAGCTATGGGTACAGTCAACTAACTCAAGCCCAAAACAGTGTAAAATCAGCGCTGTTCAGGGCCCAATAACATGCACGCCAATATCCCTGAGATTTCTGAAACACAAATGACATTCTTGTTTGGTCACTAATCTTTCAATTTCTTTTCAATTTTTAGTAGGTTAACCTATTACATTTTTAATTATTCCCACAAAACAAAATCACCCCCAGTGATTTTTCCGAAGTCTGATTGCAGCCATTTTTCAAGTGGCAACCCTCAACTTTCTCAGGCACTTAGGACCATTTTTCAACCGTAGTTTTTAGCCATTCTGCTCTCATATGGAAGCTCCAAGACCCAGGGAGTTGATCATGGCAACAATTTACACATAAATTCTCACTTGAATTAGTGGTCTGCACCCCTAATTTCGTACAAGCTTGACCAATGTCTGATATTCGTAGATCGTATGCGGTGAAAGTACACTGCTCGTACAGAGACTGCAAGTGGCCACATCACACGTGTCAGTGGGAAGATGAAGCTTGTATTAAGAGGGGGCTCTGGCGGCGGGGCTGGAGCCGTCGCCCCCACCTTTGAAAACGTAGTTATTTTACCCCCCCCCCCTATATGCCTACCAGCTGTTGGGGGTACATTGCAACTTCAAATTGTATTCTTTTCAGTCTAAGGGCCGGAGCTTAACCCTCCCCCCTTTTAAAACCGTTCAGCCGCCAGGGGTGCATACCTGTTAAATTTTACTAGATAAATTCTTTTGGTAAGAAATTTATGTCATCCAACAGATACCAGTTGTGCGTGGAGATAGCCTCTGACTTTGTACTTTTATAACTCCTCTGATCCTCGTCGTCGGATTGGTGGATTCCTGTTTCACGCACCACGCGTCGTGTCGTGCGCCGCGTCGTGCTTCAGACCACGTAATACGCGACGCACGACGCGACGCACGACGACTGGGGCGCATCAAAGCATGGACATTTAATATTAATATTACAGTTACTGACATAGGGCCTACTTGATAATGTGATGGCAGTATCGTTTATTCCCAAGAAGTTGGGTGAGATTTGTTATGCTTCTGAGAGTCCAGTATATTTTTGAGAATTTGTCTTCGGGTGTCATATTTATGGCATTTCAGGAGAAAATGTTCCACGTCGTCAGTGCATTTGCAGACATCACAGAGACCATGGCTGTTGCCCTATCTTATGAAGAAAGTTATTTAAATGAAGCCTATAATTGTGTTTAACCGAAGCCTGTGCATGATCTCTTCATGAGCCCGTTTCATTATTCCCCAGTTCGTATTATTCTCAGTGGTAGGATTTGGGATAGTTTTAGCCCATTTTTGTTTAAGTTGTCCTTTTAGAGTATATCTAATTTCACTGACCGACAGAGGAATGGAGTGATCGATGTTGTTTTTATGAGTAGCGTGTTTTTCAATCTGGTCGGCCTTTTCATTCCCAGGGATACCGCAATGGCCGGGGATCCATTCAAAATTGAAAATGTTCCCTTGGTTACGAACACTGATCATGGTATGGCGTATATCACGGACTATTTTATGCTTCGGGAATGGTTTGGAGATCGCTTGCAGAGCACTGAGGCAATCACTAAAAAATAAAGGTTTGTAAAGGTTTGACATCTTTTATCCATTCCAGTACTAAAAGTATGGCAAAGAGTTCTGCAGTGAAAACAGAAAGGCCATTATTGAGGCGGTATCCTTTAGACTAATTGATATGAGCAATGTAGATTCCACAACCGACCGCATCTTTGGTAGCGTCACGAGAATCATCAGTGCATATCTGTGGGCATTTACCCTGGACGCCACGGATAATTTCGACACAGATATTTCTACATGTCGTCGTTTATGGAGCGTCAAAAGTGGACAACCCCATTTTCTTATTTTCTACTATAGTAGATTTTCGGGATTTTGGGCTTTGCGTATAGCTTCTCCAAAAACGCAATTATCCGCGAGCAAAAATTTGGATTTTACTTTAACAACTCTCGTGGAGTGTCAAAAGTGGACAACTAAAAACTTCAAATTCTCACTAGCAAATTTTATTTGATGCTCCAACAGAGGAAAACCCCCATTTTCTCATTTTCTGCCCGTAGATTTCCGGATTTTTTGAAGTTGCACCACCTTTTTTCATAAAACCCAATTTTCTGCTAGCAGAAATTGGGATTTTACTTTGACGACGGCGGGGTGGTCCAAAAGTGGACAAGTTGAAAACTGAAACGACCGCAGTGCTCCCTACGCTCAGAATGGAACGGTCTTGGAAGGACAGTCCACATTGGGTGCGTTCGATTAGCTACCGTGAATACACCCGAGTTACAAACAAGTGAAGCCTCAAAATTAGGCTAATCGAACGCTGCAGTTTATTCACCAAGGCTTTCTGGGAAAAAGGTCAAGTCCACGCCACGTTCCATCATGTCCATGCTCGAACAGTCCATCCGTGACGTCATTTACACTTAGGAAGCCTCCAGAGACTTGCTCGCCAGCCGGGGTAGTGGTGGCTGACACAAGGGCAGCTACGAGGATCACGTGATGGCTAAACGAACGCTCTCGTGTAAGTTTGACGTACACGTGTAAGCTAATCGAACGCACCCATAGAAACTCAGAATATCGGTTCCCGTTTTAACGGTGTACAGCGATTGTGTGCAAAGTGATCCGAAACTGTCACACTCTGTATCTGCATGCTAAGGTACATTTTACTTCCGATTATGATAACACCTTTGATTTCCCCGTGAAGTTGCTTCCATTTTGACTTGCTTTAGTCATGTTGTTTTTGTTTTAATTTGATGTGGTTTGAGATTATTTTAGTTAAACTCATACCACATATAAATGAAGATATAAACGCATAATAGGAAATTGCTGTGTCATACCTAGGCCATTGCCCCGAAACGAAACAAAATGCAAATAAATGAATAACAGAAGTATAAAAGACTAAAAAGAATATAAACATTAAACTTTACAACCTTTCGTAAAAACAGCAAGTGCTGTACATGATCAAGAGAGGTAGTAACACACTTAAGCAGCAACATTTACTGTTTAATAAAGTTTTTATTCTTTGATTTTATTTTGGAGAGTAAGCCCTTCATCCAGGCCATCTTCATGCCTAGTTTATTTTTATTTCGGAGCATTATCGGCTTCCGTACACAATTGCAAATGCCTAGTGCTGCATGGATTCTGTAATTTTAATGTTACGTTCTAATTCGTGGCCGAATCAGGTGCTGTTTGATTCGCCAGCGGTGTGAAGTCATGTAGTGCCGAGTTAGCTTGCCGAAACCGAGTTTTGTTTGCACTTTGACTATGGTTTGACCGATCAGGGACCGATAAGCACCGCATTCGTTCACTCTGTCGGCCGGCGGAGTGGGACGAACATGTAAACGGTCTGTGAAATTCTGGTATTTTTTTCCGTGCTACAACTTACAAGTCTGATGATGAGAAGGATTCGGCTTGACGGTTTTTACTGCTTGAAAACTGAGGCAAGACTTCGCCCTTGCGTGAGTTTGAACTGAGTTTTAGCATTACGCCAGCGTGGTTAGTAAGCAAAAAAGTCAGCCAGAATGTATGATTAGGCCAGTAGCGAGCCTATGCGAGATTGGTGGATGGGAGTTTGCAACTGGCGCCGCTTTAATATTTATTTGTGCTCGAAAAGTGTGCGGGAAAGAGTTCTATACACAGGCATCACTAATTTCCCATGAAGTTGCTCTGGCTTGCTGGCCATCAGAAAGTGATAACATGTCCTAGAAGTCAAATTTAGCCGGTAAAATACTTACAGGGAATAAAAGATAATCAAACTCCCAATATTCTGATTGATAAACCTCGATTTCACATTTCAAATTGCCGTTGAAATTTTATTTTGGTCCAATTTTTCCTTTTTCAAAAGTGCAAAAATGAAATTCTCTACTAACATTCTTTGTAACGGGGTGTGTGATTGGTAGTAATAATAATTTACTAGAATTTATCAACTTTAGAGAACTTCTTAAAGTTAGGGCCTGCACGTGATTTTCTGATATTTTTCAATTGTGCCATGTTAGGGGACACTCAGCTGAATTCTTGCCTAATTTCCGGACACCGCTGTTTTTAAAGTTCAGATGAAATTTCTTGACCATGTTGACACTGAAATCATTCACAAATGTTTGTGAGCCTGTATCCTGAAGTTTTGGTACCAGTATTTAACCAAGTGGATTTGAAGTTCTTCAAGAAAGAGGTTTGGCCACACTATGAGGAAAGTCAAGTCAACGTCGAAGTGCGCCATGTTTAGGGGACTCTACTAATATGATCTAAGGAAATCGTTCCAATTGTGCGTAGCCTACAAGTTTTTAATTTTCAGAGTGCTCAGTTGTGACAGGATGCGAACATAGGCCCTCGTTCATATTTTTATGAACAGACAAATATTGGGAATGAACAGTTGATCAGTGTGACCATGTGATTGTGTTCCATTTGCCTTCTTCGAAATAGTCTTCTATGACTGCAAAGTTAGCCCCTAGAAAGAATTGGCTGATGGTAGATTGACAAATTGTGCAACAAGATTGACAGATTGTGCAAAGATCAAGCAATCATGCAGATCGACCAATCGTGCCCAAATGCTGATGTCTGTCAAGTCATGGTTACAGCTACATCAGCTTAAACAAGTAAATGGGAAATAGTGCCCCGCCCCTCCCCCTTCCCCTCCCCNTTCTATAATGGAGTGGGTTTATGGATCAGCCTATTAATGCCTGATGCCTGGTTGATTCTTTCTGCGAACACACAAGCACAAACACTGATACCAAGATTGTGAAATTCCACACCCCAGCGAAACTCACAGAAGGTTGTCACTTTTCAGTCATCCTCCTTTGTGCAGATCACACCTACATGTAGCATGCACAAACTTTGCCGGTCAAATGTGTGCTCTCTGAAAATCCACCATCCTTCCTACCAGTACACGCATGTGGGGTACAATTGTATGTTAAAGCACACCATGCATTGTTCCCACAAGGAGATTGGTACAGAGTGATTTTGACATTTCCAGAGGAACCATACAAACTGTTGAACACCCACCCATGTGTAGAATTTTCATGTCCCAATGGCATCATTTTGTAGCAGAATTCCTCCTAGATTATCTTCAAACCAGATACTTTTAAAATAAATCCCTGCTTTTCTTAAGGTTAATGACGGAACCTGACAGTTCTAGGTCTTGTAGCAACTTGTGCCAATGCACCTGATATTGTCAATTGTGTAAAAAAAATCTGTAGAAAGGTCTGTTTCTACTGGTATTGATTGGTGTAGTCAATCAATCCACAACTGTTAGTGATCAGAATAAGCCTTGCACAGTGGTCAGTGCGGTGAATGGGTCATCCCATTCCCCCCCTTCCTTGGGCGGACAAAATCTACACCAGCCTGGCTTTGCTTTCCTTTGGTGGACAACATCTACACCAGCCAGGTTCAAAACCCGTGAACAGTTGCTTTAATAAACTGGGAAAGAGGTCAATCGGCCATCAACCTTCTTTGTGTATGCCTCCTAGTGGGAAAGGGTTAGATGAAAAAATGGGTGATCCCTAAGTCAACCATTGTGTGCGTTTCCCTGTATTTTACAATACCTTTGCCCTTCTGTATTGTCATTCTAAAACAGCCTTTGCTGTCTCCAGCAGTGTTTTTGAATGGGCTTCTGTTCTTAATGGCACATGCACCCCACACTACACTTTTCTATGGAGCCAGTGTGGAAGGGGGCAACAGTCCTGGCTGAGCTCCATAGTCAGGCACATACATTTAAAGAAAGAGGCCTCCATGTATTCTGTTGTCCTGTACAGTATTTCATGAAGCAAAATAGGGAGAGAGGCTTCATTAACCTTTTAATAATGGAGTACATACATGTAAATGTACATTCCTTTTTCCAATATCAGTAATAATTTGGAACAAAAACACTCACAATGTGCTTCCTTATTTCCAAAATTTTGGCTGATATGTTAGATTTTTCCAATGTCACATGCAGGCACACACACAATATCAACTGTTTGTCAGTGCAGTGCTGGAAGGTTTAGGCAACAAGTTTACATTGACAACCCCCCCCATATGGGGAGTCCTTTACGTGAATTTCAATCAGAAAAATACTGTTCTTCCAGAAAAGGCTGTTTTGGTATGTTCTGTGTGGATGTAAAAAGGGATGGTGTTATCATGGAGGAAGGTGTCATGATGAACTTCGATGAAAGCATAATGCAAGAAACCACTGGCATCTAAGGAGAGGTCGTTGTTTCAAACACTGTCCTTGAGAAGGTCACGAAGGCTAAAATCTCCTGATTTACAGCCAGTAAGACCTTGGTAAGACTGGCCACGCCAGGAAGCTAGTGTAACCACAATTATATTATTTTCTGGGAAATAGACCAAGGATGGAGAAGCACTTCCCGTGTTTCACAACTTCAAGCCTAACCGTAGAAATGAACATACCATGTAGATAGGTAGCTAAGAAGAGTTGTGAATTAATGAATGTGATCCAGTGATTTCATCATGCAGAGGATAAAGTATCATGACAGATGGTAATCAATTTTTTTCCAGCTGAGAATTCTGAAATCTGAACACTTTAGCTCCGTTGGATCTTGCCTCAAAAATGACGTCAAATTTTCTTCACATTGACTTTGGCATAAATACATGTACATGTACGTACATGTACATGAGGGCTCCACATTTGCAAGTGGTAGAGAATTTTCATGCAACAAATTTGCTGTTGAAAATTATGGGTTTGGGTTGTCTTGATCAACTGGAAAGTGATTACGAAGGTTGGTTGACGAAATGAAGCTCTGTTAACAGAAATGGTATCCCCTGAAAAGGAGAAGGGGGTGTTGATGTGTGGGCGTGGCCCCCTCTGCATTCACCAACCAAAAAAGGACATTGATATTTTCTATAGCATTGTGTAAATTTCAACTTCGACATTTAATGAATGTTGTGGTTTCCATGACATCCTTAGCTCTCCATTGCAGTTTGACTGTATTGTGGCAAGCTTGTAATATTGTCATTTAGATTGGGGGGGCTCTTGGCTGGAGTGAGTCAATGTAGTGATTGATCACACTGTCTTCAGAGTTTTTTTGTGTTTGCCTTTCCTCAGACCAAATAGGAAAATAGTTGTGTTTCTGTACTTTGTATATACATTAGGAAAAAAATTAGAAATTTTTCCTCTTTTTGGCGAGCTACAAAGCAAGTGCGAGCCTATGTAATACCGATTTCCGTCTTCTGTCCGTCTGTCCCTCTGGCCGTCCGCCCTCAAATGTTAAAGTTTTTCCTTGCAGGTCCATAGGTGTTAAAATGTACCATTGAGCATTTGTTTGCTTCCTCTTGGAATTCCATCAGTATTTAAATAGTCTCATGTGGCATTAATGCTTAGAAACTTATGAATTTAATGAAAAAATTATAAAAGTTGAATGTTAACATTTGAGTTGTATTGTGTACTTACCCTGTAATACATACAGTACATACGTACCTGTGTACTGAGCACTCCTGTAATGTACATGTATGTATTGACAGTGTTTCAATACATACAAATGTATATGTACTGTAGGCCTATGTAGAAACAATGTAAGGGATGGGGGGGGACTCCAAGTGACAGGTTAGGATGTTTGTTTGGGAAAGGGTACCTGTAGGAGGAGGATCATGGGGACAAGGTACAGGTATGTAGAAAGGGGATGAAATGCTGGATAAGGTTGGCGTAATGGTTGGGGCTGGATTAGTGGGATAATGGGACAGCCAGAGTAAGAAGTGAAGGGAATGATGGGAAGGGGGCAGAGTAAGAGATGGATAGGATGATGGAGAGGGGTGGGTAGGAGA